AACTCGTTGAGATTCTCTGCTATGGAAGAATCACATTAGCTATGGCTTCCATAATGGCTTGATCATGATCTCCCAATTACTTAGGAAGTCCAGGCACTTAAGTTCTAGGAACTGTGTTGGTGATGGCAACAGATAAAGCAAGCTACGGTAATCATTGCAAAGTAAAGTGATTTCCGTCAAGGCTTGCCAGCAGCGAATCCGCCGAGTTTTTTTCAGCAGTACTAACCCCTCTTCTTCCCAAAAAATTATTTTTGATTCCATAAATGAAAACGCCATTGGTGTCTCCTGTCTGACGAAAAAACTTACAATTTGGTTTTCTGCTTCGCTTCATCCCTGAAGGTAGCTTGCCGTGCTTCCGTAAATCTGAGAAATTCCTCTTGTGTCATATCATCGCCAAGATGAGCAATACGCTTTTTTCTTTCTTCATAGGCTACATCTCGCATTTCAAGAAGCTGATCTGCTGTTTCGTCAAGATTCATCGAGTCAACAGCAGCTTTCATTCGAGCCAGATTGGTGTCGAACATGCTACAAAAATTCCATCAAAGTGAGTCTTCATAAATTTCAAAAGAAAATCAGGCATAAACTGCAGTACAAGCAAGTCATCGTACGCAGAGACGTGGCCCATTGCGGACCCTGTCGGCGTCTAGCACCCATACCACGCACTCTCATTCCTCTAAACGTCTGCTTCTCTCTCAAAAAATTGCCCTGATTAGACGCACCTGCGTCCGGTCTCTGCGTATGATGAATTGCTAGATTTTCTTCTAATTTGGGTTAGAGTGTAAACCTACCTTGTCGATGGAACTGCGTTATCCTCTTGATCACTTCCCTCTTCACGTTCCTCGTCCAATTTTGCCGTCCGAGGAGCTGCTCGTTTCAGTTCGTTCACACTTTCTGCTGTTCTCGCAAATTGCAGCAGCCTATTCAGGATGAACTTGTGGTGCTTGAACAAGACGAGCACGTCCTCCAGCATGACACAGTCCCTCTTTTCAGTCTGAGCTTTCTTCCATGCGTCCTCGAGTGCTTTCACCATCTGATATTTCGCCATGTCCAAAACGAGGTCTACACATGTTGGGACTGGATCTTCAAGGTCACCGTTAGCAAACATCATCTGCCGAACTATTTCGCGATAATAAGCATGTGAAGCAGAGTTCCCACCATCACCTTGGCCTGCAGCCATCTGCAAACAACCAAGTCATATACAGCATGTAATAATGAAGAGGCCACAAGTACAACACAAATACAAAAAAGCCACGAGTACAAAAAAATTTTGACGCTAAAGTTACTTTCTGAGTTACGCCT